ATATATATATATATATATATATATATATATATATATATGTTTATATCCAATTAAAAACCTTTTATTTTAGATATTCATAATTAAATCTTATATTTAAAACATTTTAAATACAGTACACTAAAAAAAAAATTTTTGCATTACCTAATTAGACTCTGAGAATTTTCTAATTGAATCTGTCATATTTGTAATTGAGAGAATATTCTAGTTCCACTTTCAGAAATTTTTCCCAGTATTAAAATTGCATTAAAATGTCATAAGCCAATTAGTAATTACAGAGCTATATTAAAATCTTAAGATGTTATTTAAGACAGTCTTGTAATAAGAACGGACTATGAATACTGGCCTTCGATTTTTTTACATATAAGCGCCTTATGAAAACGTAGTAGACTGAAATGGCACAATAGAAACTGTTGTTCGACAATTGGTTGAGTAAAAGTCAACGTTTGCGCAAGCATAACTAACAGAATCTTCATTACTTCGCAGTTGATTCTCGTAATGGACACCATCGTGCAACACACACATTACATATATATATATATATATATATATATGTGTGTGTGTGTGTACATTCGCGACGGGGTGTGTTTGTATATGCATATATGTGTACGCGGTAAAACGCGTTCAGATTCCTGTACACGTACGAACTCCACCCATTTCATGACCTCCACTTATCTGTGTATACATATATATCTCTATACCCATACACCTACACGTTTCTATTTGCGGTGCAAAACAACCGAGACGAGACAGGGCTTTTGCTTACTCTGTAAGGGGTTGCATTAGCGATGGATTCGAGCGGCTCGCGAGAACGAGACACAGGGTCAGTAGGTTATCGATGTTCTTCGGTCACACATAAACGTCCTTCGTACACAAGAGCGGATCATGCGCCCGCACAATGCACTCGTTGAAAGTTCAAGTAATTACATTAGCATGGTGATCCCCGCGAGACGCGTTGCGCGATGGTGGATGAAATAGAAGGAAGTGACACGCGTGATCCTTCGTCTGCCGAATTGTCCACGAATGGGACATCGCGAATTGATCGACACGTACGTGCATTTCCGTTTCCTCGATTCGCGCTGACCTCTTTTGTAACGCCGTTACATGATAGGCGTGGCCAGTGCGAGAGCGCAATTTGTGCATCCGGAAGTAGTCCGAGAGTTGCGCAATTTCTCGTAACTATTAGAAGCGGAAAGTAATTCTAGGGCGTTGTGCAAACATTTGCGAAATGTATCTGCGTGTACTAATACGTCACATTGATAGAAAAATATAAAAATGTAAAAATATAAAATATGAAATTTTAATAATAAAAGGATTAAATATAAATTTCCACATTCAACCAATAACAATTTAAAAAAGACGCAATTTAATTAATAGGAAATTATAATATATACACTGGAAAAAATTCTGATTGAAAATGGACAGATCAATAACATTCTGATCATACCAATCAGAATTTTAATCATCATAATTAGATACAATTATCTCAATTACAATTTAATAGATTTAATCAGAAAATTCTGATTTGTTCATTTTTAATCAGAAATTTTTCTCAGTGTAAAATTTATTATATAGTTATAATTAAATAAAGAATGATAAGATTAATGAACGAATTAATGTCTATGAGAACATAATATAATTTACAGAACTGCTGAGAAGATTATTTCATATTCAGAATTCATTTATAAATCATATTCGTAAAGAAATTTTGCAGAAATCGTATTTCTTTCGTCTCAATATGAATATAGAACTAGTTATATATCGAATGCACAAAATGCATTTGTTTTAATGCAAAAATAAGCTCTTATCTATCACGATTTGAAGTAGTTTTATAGCTTTCGGTTGCCGCCATCGCTCATCGATTTGAGCTTTCGCAAGTACAGCTGGGTACTTCGTTCCATTTTAAATTACAAATGGATGATAAGAACGCGAGAGAAAAAGAATCTTCTCAAAGGGCTTTAAGAATAATGCGTCTGCGCCACGTCGCAAATACGCTTTCGTGGAAAGTTTTATGTTGTGTGCGCATGCAACAAGGGCGAGAGATGAAAAAAAGCCAAGCAGCAATAAAAATCCATGCGACACACATACACACACACACACACACACACACACACACACAACTGTTTTGTTAAATATAAATAAAGAGAGTAAAGGAAACCGTGACATTATTATCAATTATATATTTAATTTATGATTTAATTTATGTTTTAATTACTATTTGAAATGACTGTAATAAAATTTGAATGAAATGAAAAGATGAAATTATTTCGAGAAACATTAAAACTTTTTTGTTAATATTTTAATATAAATAAAAGAAAAACAAATTTACTTAATTTCAATTTATATAAATAAACATTATAAAATATATTTTATTTTATTTCATATATAAACACATATAGCTAAAATAAATGTATATACGTCTATTTTAGTTTAATACGTTATTTTCATCAGAAAATTGTTTTATACATATACAATACAATTTATAAAACGTTTATTCGTGTACACATACATATATATATATGTATATCATATTTCTTTTTTATATTGTCTCACAAAATCAATAGTTCCAGTTAAATCAATAATCACAATCACGTTCCGCGGTCGATGTGCATTATCGTCTCGTATTTAATTAATATTAGAGTAAGCGCGTAATTAGATTTAATATTTAACACGGTACGCCCACGATTCTTAAGCACGGGATTAAGTATTAATCTCCACAATGATTATTATCGATTACCGGAGTGAATTAAGAGATAATCTTTATTAATAATCTATGACATCTAACTTTGTAGCTACCGCCAACGTAAAATTATTCGGAACTGACGGATATTCTATATTCTAGACATGCAGAACATCAACGCAAGACATCCAAGTAGATTCTCGCATGAATACGAACTACGCTACAAAAGCGAGTAGCACTTGGATGTATCAAGTTGATAAGGTCAACAAGTGCTTGGATAACTCACTTCGGAAGACGTCAAGTAGCAGAGCCTCGAGTCGGTGCTCTCCAATGAAGCTTGTTGAACGATTCCGTATCTGCCATCTCGGTCGGACATGTAGTCAGATCTGACGCTGTCCTGTCTGTCGAAAGTACCTCTGTAATATGCAACACATCCAACTGAATACCACGACACAAATGCCACAAAAGTGGCAGTACGAGATAAACGTCATTCAATTACAGACACTCTCTTTTTCTTTCGCGATAGCTTTCAATTGAAAAAATTGAAAATTTTTGAAAAGTATATTTCTTGATTCTTACAAAATTAATTCATAGTAAACGTTTTTCCTACATTTCTCATAATCTCTTGTGCATGTTTTACTTTCAGTACATATTTTACTTTCAGTTTATGCTTTATAAAATATTAAAGAGTAGAGAGCTGTGTAATCTCTGACGTTACATACAAGCAACCTTAAATTATTTCATATAGAGTGTTTCTCCATTTATATGATGAGAAAAATGCGATTGAGTTATATCAAACTGGATCGTATCTTATTGCGCGATCAGTGAAAAATTTTTGTTAATGTTTGCAGTATATTGTAAAAATTATATTTCTAATGCTCCTATTGCTAATGTAAGGGATACTAATATTAAGATTAATAAAACTGTTTTTTTAACGACAATAGAGAGATCAGTCGAGATATGCGATAAAAGCAGGAGGGAAGCGCAGAGCACAATGAAAGTATGGAAGACAATGCGAACAATATATGGCAACAAAAGGTAGATGGTAGCGAATGAACATCAACTATAAGAACACTAAAGTACAAGTACGCATTGTACCGAAAGACTCTTTTAACTACAGATATTTATATTTTTACTGCGTACTCACACATTTTTAGAAAAGCCATTGATAGATTAATTAATACTAGATGATTCTATATTTTTTAAATGCAATAAAAATCTGAATTATATGATAAATGTGATGTGAAAAATGTTACAGTTTAAAATTATGAACATGTTCGAAAATTATGAACATCTTAGATAACTATTAATGATTTCTTCTGTGGCGAAGTTAGTCTACGTGTCTTGCATTTTCGCCGACGACTATATATAATCGAAAAAAGTTTTTAAAAAATGACAAATAATCATAAAATTTACATAGATATATTTTACACCTGCGTTCATCGTACAATCACCAATTATTTTGCACTATAAAATTCGCAATTTCTTCCGGACATCTTTCCCTACATTTTACTTGTAATAATAAATCTCTTGCGCATTATCCTTTTTTTAAATTACTTATAGCTACAGGGAGAATTGCTGCTCGGACGTACAACTAAAAGTAAAATTCGATCAAAGAATCTATCTTTAGAATCTCATGTTGAGATTTTTCTCGAGAATCCCGCACGCAGATCGTCGATTCAATAACTTGGGCCACGCGTGAGGGATTTGTCTCCCTCACCTTTGCTCGAGCGAGTCAGTCCGGTTGGACTTGTAACCGCTGTCGTTGAGACTGCCCTCGTGTCTCAGGGACGGTAGAGAATCCCAGGGTGATTCTCTTTTGTGTCCCGAGTAGCCTGGATTTATCGAACTCGAAGCGCCGGAGCCGAAGGTCGAGCTACCCGACTGCCATCCGTCGGAATGTCGGAACCATTGTGCGCGCGCGGACTCCCCGATGCAGCTGGCGCATCTGCAAGTATCGTGCATCATGTAGATCATATGGTTATATACGGTAGATCACGTAACTGTCGCATTTCGCGAAAAAAAACCCTTGTATTTGTATTTAGAAGCTCCGCTTCGACACAATGTAAATAGACACAAGTTTTTACAGTTCGAGTAACATCTGTATACAATATCATTTGATAAATTGATACAAAAATAATTGCGTAAAAGGATATTTGACTTATCAATCGAGATTAATAGAATAAAACGTTAACAAAGTACGAGATATTTTTTTCAGTGTTGCGTTTCTTGTTTGTAACAATATTTACAATATATCCCCAGAACACAAACTGACAATAGCATTACATCAATATTATAATTTCCTATTCAATAATGTAACTATATGCGTTACATTTATATTGTTGAGTGAGAAATTACAATATCAATGTAATGTTACTGTTTGTGTTCCGGATAAGAAATTCCGAGCTCGAATTACAATTTATTTATGTCTTTTCGTGCCTCTGCTAATATCATAAATCGGTTGCTAAAATCAGTTAGAAACAGACTAATATTTCATTTCATTTGTACAACGATCCACTAAACACAAAGTAACAGTAACATACACAAAATGTTATAATTTCCTATTCAACAATAATTGCGTTAAGCAGAGAAAGTCTTGTAATTTATAAAATTTTTTAATACGAGTGATCTTGTCCTTAATTGGCTTAGGGCTGATTGCACTAACATTGAACTTTGACTTTAAGCGAGGCTTGAAATTCCCTCGATCTCTCTCTTTTCCTCTTTCGGCTTTAAAACAAAACAAAGTTTTCAAAGACATTGTAGACATTGTCGAGCTTTATATATTTAAATCTAATGAAGAACTCATTAGAGATGCGTTTGGGGAGACACTATTAGCGCTATTTGTGTCATTCCATCTTTGTTTAATAAACAACATAGATCTAAATGTATAAGCTAATAAAAAGAATTAAGACCAATCATATTAAAGAATTTTACAACAATTGCAAAATTGCTTTTTCCACTAAACGCAACATTGTAACTGTTACGTACAACATGGATTATATTACATTTATATTGTTGAGTGGGAAATTACAATATTAATGTAATGTTATCATTACTTTATGTTTAGCGGGGTTTCTGTCGAGCTTTCAAAAAAACATCAAAATTATCGAGAGAATTTATTTCGGCAAAAAGTAAACGCTCTTCTTGCCGAACATCATTGCGTAAATAATATCCAAGTACAAGGGATTAAATGTGTTATCCGTGTTCTATGCACGGACGACGCGCAAAGTACCGTGCAGGTACGGGTGAGAAATCCGAACAGAGAACGCCGGTCTTCGTGTCGTCGTCCTCCTCGCCGAGCAGCTGGAACTTGACGTGCTTTTTATTTCGCGACTGATCCCCGGATCCATTATCTAGGATCCGGTAGAACACTTTCTCCGGTAGTTTCGGCATCTTCTTCGGCATTTTCTTTGACTCTCGCCGCCTCTCGAGCGATCTGTATTTGCGTTGCAGATTGTAGCTCATTGTTGCGACTTAACTCCTCCTGACGTCAAGCAATGTTCACGTCAAATCGGATATATTTACACCGTGGATCAAGTTGATAGTGACGTCGATCAGCCCTCTAATTAATTCGATGTTTGCTAGATAACGAAGGAATGATTATCGCCGATGCGTCGAAACGATGATTGTTTGCCGTTCGTGGCGAACAACGACGAAACAATTATTTCCTCTCGTTCTATTTTTCGGGCCGGCCGACAATCACGCGCGGCACGATGAAATAATTATCGCATTCGTTTTCAAAGCGTCGTTGTTTACGACCAAACGCACCAGCGTCAAAATAATTATTACTTTCGTTCTCACGCGACTAACAGCCGCATTCTTCGACGAGGCAATTATTCTCCTCGATTCTGTTTAGAAATTATATCCATCTGTCATTTTTCCACAGTGACAAAAATAAATGTCGAAAAATTGTCTCTTTCTATAATTAGAAATAACGATAAACATTTTATCTCGCTTGATTCAAGTTTCAAACTTTTATTTAAAATCTCAGTGACACACAGTGAGAGATAGATATCTTCCTTCCAAAAATATCAAAGTGATTTGATTTCCGCTGGTGTTTCCTGCTGTCATCAACGATTCACGTAGATTTACTTCCCTTCGACATTTCGCACTTTTATTCATCACTATCCAACTGCAATTAGTTTATTAGCGGTTCATCAGCGACGTTTCTTCGTGCACCTATCATATTTATCAAAGATTCACGTAAACAACTGCACTCGGCGCATCACAACGCAACCGTTCCGACCACCACATTACATCTCGCACTAGGCTAGGACGACACGACGCGAGACGCGCGCAATTTCTTATTGTAAAACCCCGTTCCCCGATTCATTCGTCGAACGCGACTCGATGCACCGGAAGTCACTCGGCAAGACAATCGCGCGCGGGCGAATCTCCAACCGCGCGCGCGTTTCTTTCTTTCGTCGGTGCTACCACGGAACACCCTTCTTCTTCGTTCTCACCGTCCAGCTGAAGCCCACTCGCGGGATTTCTATATTTATCACGGTACGGCTCGCCACTGACAGCCGCCGTCGCTGACCCGTGATGCACAACCGGCGGGGATGATGATGCATGCATGCGCCGATATTGGCTGAGAGCGTTCTATCGAGAGGCGTACCTTCGATAGACCTCGATAGACACCACGCGACGCCCGTCGACGCGCGTCGCCTATCGATATCCCTCACGGCGCACGTGACATTCTTTTTTTTTTCCCTGCGCCGCCCGCGGGATATCGATAGGTAATACCACATCCGGTGATATTATCCAGGTCGCCCTTAATGGACGAGCACGTCTCATTGACCACCATCAGCGGCCCGCAGGGCGCAGCTCTTTTAAATGTCAAAGTCTCGCAATGGCGACTTTCGCGCCTTTTTCGATGCGCACCCTTTAGCAATCGAAGGGGCGATGGCTATTATCGGGCCTTATCGCGCGCGTCCGTTTTACTACTTACTTTAATTAATGTAATCTTGCACTAGTTGTACGAGAAATATTTCAATGGGACAGGCTAAATGTGTCAATGAATCGATTAATTCAGATTATATAAAATTCCAGAAAATGCTTGAAAGATAATTTCAATCTCATGGTGTGAGAATAATTAAAAAGTAATTAGAAGTAGAAAATCGTTTGGATATCTACATAAAGTAATATAAAAGTGATTATAAAATCATACCTAACACTACTTTCAATAGATCCATAATTACAGAGAAAATATTTTTACTGAATAATCAATGAGAAAAATAAGATTTCGCATATTTCATTATTTTACGTAAATCGAACATATGTTTCTTCATTGATATACAACTTATATACGACAAGGATTATACATAATTTATACATAATTTTTGCTAAAGTAAGTATAATAAAAATTTTTTTCTTCTTCTATAATATAATTTTTACACGTAAAATATTTTAAACTTGAGAAATCTTATTCTTTTATTCAACTAGACAATTATATTTGCATAAAAAGACGCGTGATTTATTCTTTCTGTACCATCCAGTTGAGTTCAGTTTTTGTTCGGACGAATGAAAGCGCGATGAATTAAGCGGAAGCATGAAATCCTTTACAGTGCAAATGCTAATCTTAACATGGATTGGAACGATAATTTACCTAGAATTGTAGTCGCTGAGATAGCCGCGATCCCGATCGGGGTCTCGCTCTCTTTTCTCTCTCACCATCTCGTTGCGATCACTGTAATAACCGTCTCGGTCCTTGCTGTTCTGTCTTTCGTTGCAGTAGCGGTATGATAGCGGCAGGGTCGACGACTTGTTGGAATTGGAACCTGTAATCATGATAATTGGTTACGAACGAAGGATATGATTCTCATGTATTTTTTCAATTCTCAGCATGCGATCAACTTACGTCTTCGTGAAGCGTGAGGCGTGCGCTGAACATTCAACGGTATGTTTTCCGCAAATTCTGAAAAAACGTAAAAACTCTCATTTTAATTATTCATGGTGTAACAATATTTTACAATTAATTATTTCGATAGTTTCATCTTAATAAAAGCTGAAAAGGTTAAAGTTAAAGTGTAATTAATTCGTTCGCTTGAAAAGAACACGGGTCGGTAGGATACACAAAAAGACTATGTTTCTTGATAACTAGAATAGCACATAATTATTCTCCTGAAATTTAATTTCTTAAATGCCATGTTATACAGAGTCATTAAAAAGAAATCTTATGAAATCTTCTGCTGAGAACGTTTCTTCTTTATTCTCTTACAATACAAGTAATTTCACAACGGAATTACACTTAAATAAAATTCTACATCAAAGCGACGACTTTAAGTGATTGATAATAATTACTTGAAAAATAGTTTTTTAAAGAAATAGAGAAAAATAAATTTAAAAAAAAAATGCATTCTTTTATTATAAATATTAATTAAACTTTCAGTTTTCATTATGAATATCATTTTATTCAATTAAGCTGCATTCTTAAGCCAGAGAATTCATAAAAAATTACTAAACATTTGACTTTCTCTGTCAAAAATAAAATCAAGTTCTCACCCAAGTTCTCCATGCTCTGCGTGAGTAGAGCCTCAAATGTGCGCAGGCTATAGCTCTCTGCGTCCATACCCTTGGCGAGAGTGTTCCTGAGATGCATTTCGTATTCGAGAAGCAGCCGGCTGGTCGGGCTGCCCGGCGTCGACACCGACTGCATGCTTTGTTGATATGTCTGGCCGCCGTTGCAACGGCGGGAGTTGCAGTGGTTTGGCTGCTCCATGTCGGAATTGCCGTTCGACGAACTCGGCGTGGTGGCATAGCACTGGTTGTCGAAGATGACATTGTCCGAAGGCGGCGACATGTCACCTGTGCACCGATTACGTTCCGAATCTAAGTACGTCCTGCCTCTGCCGCCTGCGGGCAGAGAGGTGCAACCGAGAGTGCAGGATGTACGACGGACGTGATGAGACGTGCGGCGCTGATCAATGGGCGAGACGTGTCAAGTTAATCGGGAACGGCGAACGCGTAACCCGGGAAGCGGTTGGTTCAAGAATGAACCACGAAGCCGACGTGGAGCTGACAGGACAACCACGTTGTCTCCTAGTGCGCATGTTATGTAAGGTCAGGAGCAACAAAATGTTAGGGGGTGCCTCAAGAAGTGGTGGATGACCCCGTGACTTTCATTAGAGTGCAGCCGGCTAGCTGCCGCATTGTGCGTTTTGTGCGCATGTTAAGTTATACCGAGGGTGTATAACTAAAGGTTATAGGGACTGATGGACGTCATAGGATCAGTCGCCGATTAGTTGTAGGGACTTCCTATAGCGTTACGCATTCGCCAATATCATGGGGTCAAGCAAAGAAAGAGACCATGATCGATCATGTAATTGACGATGTGAACTTTGTCACCTTTTTACTTTTTGCAACTTTAAATCACGCCCGATTAAATCTTGTCATTTTGCGATAAATAACAATTATGTTATAATTTTTTAAAAAGTTGTGCGGAACATTTCGTAGTTTTAGGAAAAAGTTACGTGATCGATTCTTCTTCAATTGCTTTTAAACATTTTCCTTGTTGAGAACTTTATCCCAGATTCGTAATAATTTATTTTATAGATAATCTTTAAATTTTTTAAAAAATTTAATATTAATTCGAATAATTTTATAGTGTTATTAATTAATTATCTCAACAATGATAACATTACTCCACTTAAAAAATTTAACATATTTAAATAACAAATTATAGCGTATAAAACTGATATTTAAACATAATCATATTTCATGAAACTAACAAAATATTTAATCATTAATATAACTCACACACACACACACGCGCGCGCGCGCGCGCGCCACACGCACGCATCCCCCACACATTCGTTGAATTCATTAAATCCAAATAATTAAATATTATTATCGTAGACATTTATCAATTGCAAATGATACAGTGAAAATTTAAAATGCCAGGGCAACATTGAAACGATTAAAAATTATCTAAAAAGAACACGAGAAGAAATTAGCAGAAAATCAGCGATACGTGGCAAGAAGAAATCGTACCGGAGTATTGCCGACTCATGTCGTGGGCGCTCCTGGAACTTTGAAACTTGTTGTTATAAGGCGCGCGATACGGATGCGCATAATTCTCGTTGTCAATCTCCTGCATCATGTACTTCTGATTGTTATTGCTCGGATGGTAGTGATAACTGTGGTGGCTGTGACGTTTCCTCGTCATCTCCGGCGACGTCACCGGGCTATCGATACTCGGCATTGGCTTTAGCATACGTTTCAAAGTATTCGAATCCAGACTGATGCCGCCGTTCTGTGCATTCTCGATCCGCATGTCGTCGGTGCTCTTGCTCTTCGACCTGTGACCGTGATTGTTGTTGACAATGTTAAAGAGATTGCCGTTCTGCATCTCCAGTTCAGTGTAGTCGGCTGACTTGGTGTGATGGAGCTGCTCCTTGCGCAATGACTTAATTTGCAAAGTGCCGCCGGCCTGGGTGCCTTCTGATTTCAGCATCTCGATGCCATTCTGTTGCGTAGACGTGTCCTGGCTTTGTTTTTGTTTCTTCGGCGATATTGTAGAACCTTTTTCGTCTGGGCTGTCGATCTATGAGATGGGCAAATTAATAAGTTCAAAATGGTGTTTCTTGATTTCGATAATGGATATGATTT